GACTATTTTATAGTTAACGTTTTTAGCGCCAACCAGCAACTGACGCCCATACACCATCAGTACTTCACAATAAATTTCATTGCAGGCTTTTATAACAACCTCCTATGAAATGAATTAAATTATAATAGATACTATAGTGTCCTTCTATTGCAGCCTAGGCCTGGACGAGGAAAGAGAAGTAGTGGGTTACAAGACCTATAATAATACGTTTATTGTAGACGGAAAAATTCGTCATTAAAGCCCGTTCTCCATTCAGAACTTTTTGCGCTTTCGAGAAGCGGAAAAGTTCTTTAACATGCGCAAACAGTTTTTTTAAGCCCGTTCTCCAATCAGAACTTTTTGCGCATGCTCAATAAACTTTTCCGCTCAAAAAGTTTTTAATGGAGAATGGGCTTACAGGTACTTTAAATACAATGTTTTCTGTATCTGCGTCTTTCATAAAACATATAAAACGTGGCCTACTTTATTTATACAGCCGGATATTTTGCATTTTGAAGAAAAAAATAGAAGGCCAGTTTTTAAAATCGTAATGTTTCAAAAACTTAATACGTTTTGAACATTTTTAAAATTATTTTACTTTCTAAATTTAAAAAGTCCACAAAAGTAGTATATATTCATAATTTTATATATTAAACGAACATTTATTAAGAAATAAATAAATCAAGAGTCTTTATTTTAAATTTAGAATTAGTAAAACAATGTAAGAAACAAGAACAGTTATAAAAAATATCAAAATGTTTTTCTTTTTTCATTAAACAATAAAATAATTATATTATATATAATTTATTAAATTTTCTCAAATTTTCTCTTTTTAAAAGATTTTACATGATCAACAGCTACTTCGCTGGTAGATATAATTCTTTTATTATTAAGAAAAATGTTGATAACAATTCTTCCAGCAAGTTTTATCCCAGTTTTCTCATGCATGGGACAAGAAAAAGTCTGAAAAGAGTCATAAAAGTGGTTTAAAAAATTTTCCAAAGCTTGTCGTGCATGTAAACTAAATTTCTTTATTTTGTTATAAGAGTAGGCAATCATAGCAAAGGATGTGCAAACATAATCCAAAAATGATGGTGAAGGAATAGTGTGACCACCCCTAGTGAGACCACCCCTAGAAATAATTGTTAAATAAGTATGATCAGGATTGCTTTCATCAATATTGGCACAACATAAAAATTCTTTACAACATGTACCAAAACGTTTTTTAAGTTTCTTTGCTACATAACCAGCAATATGAGCACCTACTTCCCTACTTTCTGATGCAAGTGTCATGATTTCTGGAGTACACTGAGCTTTATCAATATCAAAAAGAAAGTTTTTCACGTCTGTTAAGTTTTTTTCTGACTCAAAAGGCACTTTCAAACTATCATTAAAGTTAATACTTTCTTTAACTATACTTTTAATTTTTAATATTTTTTTAAAAATAGTGACATCTTTTAAACCCACCAAAAATCTTCCACCGCTCATTTGTCTATATTGTCCTAATCTCCTTTCTAAAGGGTCACTTTGAAATCTTGCAGTTAAAACAAAGTGATATCCACCATTAAGCAAGTCCTCAATCAATGAGGCATGACTATTAAGTGTTCTTATTAGTGCTGCAGCTGTTTGAACACTTAAAGTAAACTTCACACAGTTTGGTATCTTTTGTGATTGCCAAATTTCAATCCAATGTGCCATTCCCCAAGAAGTTCAGGTTTTTTATCACCAGAAATGAGTGCATTACCTAAAATATTACATGTTGAATACTGACATTTAGAATTTGATAAAACCCACCACTTGTTAAATAATGTAAGAAAATCTGCCCTACTTTTAAGATCAGGAAAATATGAGTGAATTGCTGCAGATGTAGTTTCATCGAAAATTGCAAGTGCTAAAAATACATTTTGTTTATAATTGCCTGAATGTTACACTTTTCATTGTTATTTTGGGTGCTTTACGCAAACCAGAATCAAGAGCGAGGTTTTTTTCATAAATATTGTGGAAGGTACTCCATTTAATTTCTCCCCCACAATTATAGGATCTTTAAATCCATTAAAGTTAAAATCTGGAAATAAAAATCTTTTGCAATTTAATAAAATTTTTCTGATGTTTTTAATAAGATGTACAACATCAAAACAGAGGTAATTTTTTTTTAGATGTAAATAAAAAGCAAATCTTCGGCTTTTTGATTCGATGCGCATAGGATTTTTTTAAAACAAAAAAACATTAGCGAGTGGTCACACTTAATAACTCTAACATTAAATTCACATTCAGTTAAAATACAAAGACATTCAAATTTTTTTCCATTACAATTTGTTAAAACAGCGGAGAAAAACATCCTTAGAACAACATTGACATTATGGAATTGATTGAAATTTCTTTGTTCAAATAAGCAAAAGTAAACCCATGTGAGTGCAACAGAATCCATATCTAGAAAACGAACAAAGAATCCAAAACTAGAGAGAAGTAAAGCATAAACTTGTCTTTGCCTTTCAAGCTCAAGTAAAAGTCGATTTATAATAAGATTAATCTCAACAATTATTTTTTCTTCCAGTAATAAGATAAATAATCTTTATTTATCTAAATTCATTCCGCTGGATCCAGTGACGGATCCAGCGGAATGAATTTAGATAAATAAAGATTTTTGGATTCGTTACAGCAGCAGGGTATTTGCTTGTGCCCACCAACAACATAAGTTCTTTTTAAAATTGACTAAACTTGATTTAATCTCTTTAACAAAAACAGACAGAGAGTGATACAGCTCATTCCACTGTCAAATCAACTTTTTCTACTTGAAGCATTTTGTTTACCTTATTGAACTTTTCCGTATTTGTGCGTCAGATTAACTCGGCCGTACCCAGCTGATATAATTTTTGTTTAAATTTAAAAAAGTGTATAAGTGAAGTTTGTAAAATAAAAAAAGTTGACTCCTTTCCGGTTAGCCTCTCCAAATGCTTTGGCCCCACAGTGGCTACCTAGGCTAAACATGTGTAAAAACGGGCTTGGAAAGATGCAATGAATGTTTATCTCATAAGTCAGCAAGTAATACTAGCGAAAACATGGAAGAAGTTTTTCTCCCAATAATGACTTTTCAGATTAAATACAGCTAGAAATCTTTGTTTTTATGAGATTTTGCTAACGTAGCTGCGATCCTCGAGATCACTTAGTAGTAAAACGATTATATCAATCGTTTCGAGTTGTTGATTTTCTGTTGAGTTTCGATTGTTGATTTTATATAAAAATAATATAAATATTATTTTTATATAAAATATTTTATATATTTTTATACAATAATCCAAAAAAGTCAAGTCCAGCCGTCAACCATGCTGTCTAACTGCTCTCCGATTTTCTCCCGGGAAGTTCTCTCAATAAGATTGAGAGATCTTATATATTATTATCTTATATATTGACAATATATAAGATAAACTTACAGATGATTTGAAACAAAAAATTTAGGCAACATTTCTAATATTTCTATTATTTCTTTTATTGTTTTATATTGGTTAGAAACGCATTTTGTATAAGCTTTAGAAAGTTTGGATCTGCACTTTGAAAGTCTAACTTCTTTTATAGATTTCAGTGTTGACGGTAAAAGATTACTACATCTGTCCAACAAAATCTGCATCAACATCTATCAATCATATTGATAAATGTTGATACAGATGTAGTCCAAGATTATCTGTATTTTATTTTTACTCCAACAACATTTGTCCAATTATTGGACAGATGTTAATGTAAAAATAAAATACAGATGATCTTGGACTCCAATATCATCTGGAAATTCAATGACCCCTACAATATCTTTAGAAATATGTAACTGCATCTGGTAATTTTTTTCCATGTCCAATAACATCTGGAAGAATTTTCTCCAGATGTAATTATATCTGAAAAAAAAACTTGCATTTATATTTAATATTTGATATTAAAACTCACAGATGTAGTTGTACATATGTAGTTATTCTTAACATAATTGAAAAGATGTAACTACATCTGTAAAATCTCCAGATGTAGTTGCACAAGTATTGTTATATTTAGATAATTAAAAAAATGCATCTATATCTCTTGTATTACAATGTATGATGTGTATAATCTTGTATTACAATGTAATGATATATAACTACATTTGTCCAACAACATCTGTAAATACACTGAAGTATAATAATATCTGTCCGAAAACACCTGAAATTTCGATGTCTAATAATATCAGTGCAAAAAGCATATGATTACAAGTTGTAATCATACATGATTGATTCTACAGATGTTCTTTAACAGATATTATTAACCATAGCGAAAACTGATATTTTTTCCATGACTTGTCTTGACTATTATCTTTTGATTCTCAGAATATCCAATAGTGGTATGCTTAGCCTGGACATTTATTAAAGTATCGAACTAATCAAAATTATGTATTATCTGTTATATATTTTCTGTTAATTGTAAAATTAAATTTAAATCTCCCTTACAAGATAAGTATTCCACCTCTCTTGCAAAGTTCAGCTCAAGGTGTGTTAGAATAATTTTTTAGTTTAAAATTTTTATTTGATTTTAGTGACCACACTCTTTCAAATATCCCTTATATTAAATGTGTTAATACCATTAAATAGGTTGTATATTATCTAATAAATAAATTAGTTCCATAATTATATATCAAATAACTCTGGATTCTGTTGTCAAATATCTCATCCTAATAGATCATAACTTATAGAGTTTTGAAACCTTTTTGCAAGATTTATATATTTATTTAAACTCAAAAATATTTTTTTAGTAATATTGAAAATTATTTTTAATTTTTTTTTACAATTATAATAGTAAAAAAGTTGAGAATATTTTTCAATTATAACTTATAATCATGGTTTTTGATTTTTTTTACCCAACAAAAATTTAGTTTCTTATCTAGAATTTTTGAATTATTATTTGACAATAAATATTTTCATTATGTTTGCTTTAATGCTTTTTTGTTGATAGCCAACTAATAAGTTTTGTGTTTCTGTGGGTAATAAAGATGTGATACAGCAAGACCAGTGCCCAAATATCAAATGTTTTTGATAATATATTTGACAGTTTATGTGTGTGTGTGTGTATATATATATATATATATATATATATATATATATATATATATATATATATATATATATATATATATATATATATATATCTCCCCAAAACAATATATATAATATCCAAAACATGAATCTTGATAAACAAGACGTGTAATGCCAATGTCACTACAAACTGTAGTCTACAATGTTATAACATTTTTTCGAAGCAAATTCTAATATATAATTTATTGCAAATAGACAAAAAGTTTAATATATATTAATTATCTTTATTTTTTGTCAAAATATTATAATTACTTTGAAAATGTTTCAAATACTATTAGTAGATTGAGTTAATATATATTAATTATCTTTAATTTTTGTCAAAATATTATTATTACTTTGAAAATGTTTCAAATAATACTATGTTTTAAATAACATATAGATTGAGTTAATTTAAGTTTTAATATAAATATTATTTTTATATAAAATATTTTATATATTTTAATACAATACTCCAGATGAGTCAAGTCCAGCCGTCAACCATGCTGTCTAACTGCTCTCCAATTAAGCCATTTACTGATTATAGAAATTACAGGTATAAAGATTTAATGTTGTCTATAATAAATTATAATAATTATATGTAAGAATGTGTTTGTATACCTATGTATATATATATATATATATATATATATATATATATATATATATATATATATATATATATATATATATATATATATATATATATATATATATATATATAATATATATATATATATATATATATATATATATATATTTGTTATTCACCTCATCAAGATCAAGAAGACCACTACAGACAAGGAGGCTACTCAATAGTGGTTGTAACCCTCTCTCAACTCTATAACTCCGATCGAACTTGGAACCTCTCGCTAATGAAGCGAGGTATACACACATTTATACACACACATATATAATATATATAAAAGTATATACTACAAGATAAGGATATATATATATATATATGTATATATATGTATATATATGTACATATATATATATATATATATATATATATATATATATATATATATATATATTTATATATATATAAATATCAGTGATTGACCTAGAATTAATTTAGGGATACTTTTTTTACACAATAAGGTATAAAACAGACACTTTACATATACATATCAGACTGACATATATATATATATACATATCATATATATATACAAGCACAAATATAATTATATATATATATATATATATATATATATATATATATATATATATATATATATATATATATATATATATATATATATATATATATATATATATATTTGTGCTTGTGTGTCCTCAAAAAAAAAAGGAAAGCATGGTTTTTTATTTAAAACTCATAAAGCCTAATGTTTTTGTCACTAATTTTAATTTTTTTTTCTTCAATATAAAATTAGAACTAATAATGTACTTAATTAGAATAAAAAAGTTTTTGAACTTTAGTTGTAGTTCAACTAAACTGCAGAACTGGTCATATTTTTGTATTAAGTAAAATTAATTGTAGCAAGAAGTTTTTTATAATTTTTGATTTTCAATGTTGGATACGTAACATATTTACACTATTAGAATTAGAATTAATAAGAAATTGACAAAAAGGAGCCTTTATAGAATAAAACAACAGGTCCAAAAAGAATTTTTTTTTTAATTATTTTATGTTTCACATTATAGTTTTTGTATTTATAAAGTGATTTTTAAAAATTGGCTGTGAGGAAACTGCATGTTATTGGTTAGTCAAATAAAGTAAAGTGTAAACCTTGAACACTTACGTAACAATACAATTATAATAAGAATAAAAATAGGTAACCATATAATCTAGTTTATACACATGTCACAGTTGTACATGATAAAAAAATCATGGTAAAAAGTAAAGTATAACATATATTTCCAGATGAAAAATATATATTACCCGAAGCGTACTGCAAGAAAAAATAAAAGATAAAATGTTGGAATTTGTACCTTTCAGTGGCTGACACAATCACCTGATTTTAATCCAATTGAGAATCTGTGGTCTATATAAGCTATACTCAAAGACAGAAAACTTAGTAATAAAGATGAATTATTTTTGATACTTCTAAATTGTTGGAATATTTTGAAAGTTAGCTTGTTAACAAAAATAGTTAAGAGCAAGCCCTGCAGATGCCAAGCAGTTATTAATGCAAAAAGTTATATAACCAAGTATATTTAAGTATAAAGTATACTTATATATATAGCCACGTATATAGCCACAAAATAAGTAGCCTCCTTGTCTGTAGTGGCCTACTCGGCCTTGAGAAGGTGAATTAAAATAAAAAAAATAAAAAAAAACAAACTTACATTTTTTATATTTTAGAGTTATTTGTTTGGAAAATGGAATTAAGACTCTTTTAATATCAGATATAAAAGATGAAACATCAGTTGTTAAAGAGGAAACAAAATTGGTAATAGAGTTTTTTTT